TGAGCTTAATCGGTTCCTGCTTCCTCGACAATGGTCTGCTTGACACAGTGCATGGTGTGTGTAAGCTGCTGCCTGCCGCAAGGCGGTTGTTACAAGGCTTCAACACACACGTAGCTACAGCATGGCCCTTGAATTTGCACAGGGTCGTGCTGCTAAGCGGGATGTATTCAAGTATGGATTCAAGTGTTTAAAAGTGCAAACACAAATACGCCAAAGTACTGAAGCAACTTCTATGGCAGCACAATGCGCGTGCAGACTGCAGTCAAGACCTCCAACTAGCGAACCAGCGCAACACGTGGAAATGCTACCTGATCCGACCGTCCTCCTCACGACGACGGAATTCCCCAGTTACCGGCCAAGGATGTCAATGGTATACTGCCTGCTACATACGCAGACGCACTACCGCTTGCCACGACCCCGTTATGCAATACCTCTATACAGAACGCCGCCCCGCACTAGTCGCTGCTTTCGTCGGGTGTTGCTTGTCCTGGGTCCGACACCGTGATCAAGTCTGGGCTGCGGCAGCTGGAGGAGCTTTCGGCGCTTTCTTCACCTGCAGCAGCAGTGAAGGATGTAGCAAGACGATAGTGGAGATGCTGTGCGGAGGGCCCATGCATGACAAGCAGGGAAATGATGCAACGATGAGATAGAATTTACCTCCATTCATCCCGAAACTCCACAACAGCACGACGGCGTCGTCCCCCGCCGAAACCATACATATGGAGCCGCACGAATGTAGCCAGGCGACTTGGTTGACTGCTGATGCGTGCCCTTTGAGCTGTTGGAGCATGCAGCCCCAAAAACGGTGCCAGATGTATATTTGCGCATCTGAAGGCGGACAACGCACCAATACGCAGCACACAATGCGCCCGCCTTCAAGCCCTATGCTGGGCAAACAATTTTCACGTCATATCAGCGCTATATACAGACAAGTTGAACGCAACCTTCAAACAAAACAATTCGTGCTTGTAACAGTTTGGCAAGATCATATCTGCTGATCGCCGCTGAGCAGTCTGTCTATTACCTTCTGAGCCAGTTATGACAAGTTCCTCGTGGGGGCCGCCAAATGCCGGACGAATAGCCAGCCTTCCCGCTTTATGCCCTCTGTACTTCTGGACGACTTTGCGTTCATCGAAGTCCCAAAGCCGCAACACCTGCAGAACATGAAGACGAAGGCATGACGCGAAGTACGNTTGCGTTCATCGAAGTCCCAAAGCCGCAACACCTGCAGAACATGAAGACGAAGGCATGACGCGAAGTACGCGGCCGCTCAATGCGACAAGCAGAATAATTTCTGCATCGAAGCAATCATTCTCCTGTTATTTTCAGTCATCGCGTGAAATAGCAGTGATCCTGGAAACAGTGGAAACATAGTCTCCATAGCTCTACAGACGGTACCAAAGTGGCCAACACAAGCAAACCAACTCCATGCATCTACTTGCAAATGGTTTGCTGTCCAGAGCTCAACATCTGAGGCACGTTTTCATTCCTGCACCATCGAGTTGGCAAGACGCTGTACCGCTAGTCTCTTTCGGAACCAAAGGCATGAATGGAAGCCTTACAGGAGGTGAATTTGCTGTGCTTAGTAGTATCTGATTAAAGATTTTCGAGGGGCACGCTGCAATGACAAGGTCCTTGCTATTCGACCTGCAGACAATCGCACAGTAAGCCCCCAAGCGCCATCCGTACTTCAGTGTAGTTGTATATGGAAACGGATCTGTCGCTCCCCTTGTGACGTCGCCAAGACCTCAGCGATGCCCGGTAGAGAAAAGTCACACGTCCTGCCGAGCTATGGCCTGATCTGTAGTCACTATAAATTTTACCAGGGGGTTTCTTCTTTAGTGCTTATGTCGAATAATTTGGCTTGGCGATCGGAGAAGAAGACAATCATATTATTAGACCCCGGCAGTAAGAACCCCTCTTGAGGCCTTCCGGGCAAAACCCATTCATATTCCACCGAATATGTTGCGTTTAGTGTTGAATTGTGGAGACAAACAAGCGTCATGGTCCGGTCAGTGGCCATTGAAATCAACTTCCTATGACCGGGAACCCACTGCAGCCCGACGAGGGCGCCGCTGTGTGTGCAGTAGTCGATGAGCTTTCGGCCTTCTTCCCAAGCCTCAATAAATGGACTTTCTCCTCCAGCTGCAAGCAACTTCCCAGTGCTATCCCAGTCTAGGAAAGCTGCGGCACTTCCCAGGCGCTGCGCCCGCCACAGTAACCTGNCTTCCCAGTGCTATCCCAGTCTAGGAAAGCTGCGGCACTTCCCAGGCGCTGCGCCCGCCACAGTAACCTGTAAGTGCCAATGACATTACCTTTTTCCATTATCGGTCGGGCCTGAGTCTGCTCGAGTCGCATCACCAAATCCGTGTCGCCTTCCAGCCAAGTGGACAGCCAGCGAGCGCCCAGATGACTTGCCGACAACCGCTCTGCTGTATTTAATTCCTCGGAAAAGTTTTTGTTCCATGCTGAGGTGTCTGGACTTAACAGCCACACGCAAACCGACCGGTCCGCGGACCCCGAAGCAACAAGCGTCTCCATCCTGTTGGACTGCTTGGGGGCTACTGCCACCGTCCACACTTCCTTGCGATGCGTATGCAGACAGGCAACACAGCACTGCGGAAGGAGGGGAACTCTGCATCGGTGAGGCTGGATGACGCTCTCGCTCACGCTGCCCGGAGACTCAACATGCAGTGGACAAGACAAAAGTTGAAACCGACGAGCCTGATCCATAATTGTCGCCAACATAGATGGCTGCAAAGCTAGGGAAGCCGGCAGCAGACAAGTAATGCGGCTAAACAATTGACTCCTGCTCAAGCTAGATATCTGCAGTACATGCCCCAACAGGTCGCTGCCTTCATACATCAACAGCGTCGCACACTCGTGGACCCTCTCCGTCGTTGCAGTATCGAAGGCCGCCACACTTAGGTCCTCTGCGAATATTCAGTGCACAGGCAATGCCAGCTCAGACAGCTTACTCGGCAAGCAGATATATAAGTCAGACGTATACGTCAAAATTTGCGCATGAAGCGAATAAGCAGGCTGTGTGTTCTCCTTACTTCTTAGACACGCGATTCTGGACTCTAAAGACATGCTGGGGTCTAAAATTGCCTCCAGAAATTTGTGTTGCATGATCAAAAACCAGCAACCCTGCCTAGTTAGCGGTTCGAGGGGCAGACGAAGCAGAGCCCTTCCAGCCTCTAGCCAGTTTCCATCTAGAATACTCTCTCGCAGTTTGCGCATGTCAGGCTGAAGTAGCTCAACTCCGCTTGCCTTCTCGAGTGAGGTGACGATATCTCTGACGAACGAACAACGCAAATGGAGGGGAAATAAGAAACGCAAACAATGAGGAGGTCGAGTGTTGCGGTATCTGCTCACTGAAGGAGGATCAGGGCTTGCCAAAGGTGTACTCGCTGGTTGGTTACTCGCCGGCCTACCTGTATCCCATTTCGTCAAGTGTCTGCAAAATCAGAGTTAGTACTTCTCTGCTGTCGAAGCCTCTCCACATGCTGCCGCATTCGCCACCCGGTGAACGCGGGGAAGCTGGCGACATCGCTGAGACTTTGGAGTGGCCAAAGGCCCCTTCAAGCGACTGCATCCTATCCTCGTCTGGGGTTGCTGAAGACGAACTGCTGTAGCTGTTGAGATATTGCGCATAACAACACAGACATCATGCTCCTGCACGTTACGCTAGACCAGACCAGTAGACTCGTTGCAACGCTTTGCTTGAACTCCCACGCTTCAAAATAAAGAAACAGGAATACACCTACCTCTGGAAGAACAAAAAAACTTGGGTTGTTGAGTCTACCCAGTTTCTTCTTGCTCCGCGCAGCCCACGGTCTGGTCTATCAGGCTGCAGCCTCGCGCGCACATGCAGCACTAACAGCCAGAGTTACCAAGACTCTAGCGGTTATGTTCCTTTATCAGTTATTCACAGGAAACCCAGCTGCTCGCCTCGCTAAGTATATACGCCTTTGCGCAAACAGCCTTATCTGGGTTGCCGCTCTCCAGTTACCATCAGACAGAATCGTGACGCATGCGACTAGAGCATTTGCCCAGCTAATAAGGGCTTTGTTTGTGTCATATAACGCAAATTAATTATAGTTTGTGTCTGTAGCGGTTAATTAATAGCATTTTTCTCTTTTAAATAGAACTTATGCACTGCAGCTTGCGATATAATCGGNGGCAATGCCGGCATTTCGGGCGGAACTGCTGTCTCGTGTCAGATCGTCAGGCACATCTGCGCACCAGAAAGCCAATTTTCATTGAAATGCTGAGACCTTGGAGGAGATTATGAACTTTATATCTTGGAAGGCAATGCATGTTGGCTACGCTGCTTCTTGCCAATAGATTTTAGGCTGCAGTGACCGAACGGTCAGATGCAACCCCCAGCTGGTGCGACGAACTGCAGCAACAAACTAGGCCCCATAAGACGAATATATTGAAGCAAACCACTCCCCTCATCACTGTCAGTATCATCATTGGCATAGAGAGTGGTGCTACTTGCCTAGGTCAGGACTTCGTCCTGTAGGGTGTACCACGACCAGGTTGGTGGTGACTTCCACTTCTTCACCACGCCACAACGCAGCTTTCAAGCTTTTTTTGGGAAGCTTGCTTTGCACACAACTGTAAACGTGGAAACGCCCCATTCAGACAAGAATAACTCTTCGTGCTATTCATGCCAGAGGGCCTGCAGTTTCCGCCTCGAGTGGGGGATAACTTCGAATGTGTTGTATGCGCGCTGGGTCTGCCCAGCTTAGGTGCAGCATTAATAGGAGTAGTACCTGATAGCTCTAGAGAAACCGAACATTTAGATTTAGTGAATAGTTATCACGTGAAAAGACGGGCAGGTGAAGATGGCGTTCGACGCGAGAAAGTCGTGGATCAAAAAAAAAGTCATGGGAGCCCTAAATATACAGGATCCCAGCCCCTGGAATAGCCTTATGGCCAGAGTAAGCTTCCAGTTTAAGTTATGTGGGAGCGTCAAGCTGGGATGACTCCCTTTATATGCCTAAGCCACCCTGCCCTTGCAGCGGTCACTTCTCCATCTGCATTCTGAAGCGTTATTCCGTGGAAACCCTAAACCCTAAACCCTCAAGATTGCGCGGCACTTCAGCTACAATATCAACTTAGATGGTAGTTGCCTGCAGAGAGACGGCGCAGCTTTTAATGCATGGAACACTGAACTAGGGGGTTGCAACGTTCGGAAAAGACTAGCCATCTGAACTGCTGTATTCACATGCAACCAAAAAGCCCACACTGTTAGAAAAAGTGTGAACGGCATTGGGATGCAGGATGGCCAAAAGGCTGACAAGCAACTGGAGCAATTCTTAGAAGCGGGGAACACAGGGACGGCACTGTTTTTCGCCTACAGCAAGTCAGAAGACTCTCAAGTGAGCTGAGAACATCTTGCCTGGGAAATCAAATGCCTCCCCTGCGAATTGACAAAGGAACAGGCAGGCTTCTATGCAGCTGGTTCTGTTGTTGGCCTTGCTAGCACGTCCGCCTCAACTCTTTCTAGATGTAGACTCTGCTTTCAGCAAAGATGCGCGTTCTCTCAGCACATTTTTGGCGTCTCTCGATTACGCGAGTAGCTTATCTTTTCTTCAGTTCTTGAAATCTATATGCGAGTGTACTGGGCAGCATTATACGGCTTGGGGCGTGCTTCTCACAGGCAGAGCTCCTCGAGATGCAAGCTAGCCCGATCAATCCATCAAAGAGTCCAAGCGTCCACGTATACGCGCTCCGGCTCTGCTCTGGGGTCATCGATTTGACTGGAAAAGTAAAACTTCCCCGTAGGAAAGCCCAGTCCCGCGCTAGCGGAGACTGGAATGGCTGCACCGATGCTGCGTTACGAGCCGTGACGGTTTCTGGGCAGTCTAGTCGTGAAGAGAACGAAATCAACGGGGCGGGATTGAACAAGCCTTCTTGCTTTGTCGCAGGGAGTGGAGGAGATGAATCGTTGCATGCTCGTCGGCCTTGTTGGTCCCTGCATTCTAGAGGACCTGACTCAAATTTTAGAGTGCTTCTTGGTGCCACTTCTATCTTACCGGCCGCAACCCATCAGCAGCGATGAAGTTGAACAGGCCGCAGCCGCAACTGCTATTCCTGGAAAGCCAGCGTCCCCTGACTATTTGAAGCTCAAAGGGAAACTTGGTTCTTCGTCGTCGACCGATTCACACGCACCAGAGACTGAATCGGTATGTTGTTGACCCCCTAGCTGCACAGTACACTTTACACCATCTTGCGAAGCCCAAACTCAACTATAAGGTGCTTTGCTGCCATTTTTGCATCCGTGCAACTGCAATGTCCTTCGACAGCTGGTTGACAGCGACGACGGTGATTCCGAAGGATCTGCAGGATCGTCATCGCCCAGCAGACGCGCGTCAACGTCGGCAGCAGAAGCAGAAACCAGTGCAGCGATTGTGGGCCCAGAAGGCTCTCCAGAAGATTACACGGCGGTCGAAGAGGTCGAAAACGGGAATGTCACGGAAGAAAGCACTTCTGCTTTGGACCCAGAGTGCAAAAGTGAAGCGCTCAGCGCAACTCAGGAGCTACTGACGCACCTGAAGGCGGCGTCAAGTAAAATGGCAGTACCACTTCCAATGCCCATTGTAGAGACATCCTCTCTATCTGGCCATGAGAGTGCAGCTAACGTTGCCAATTTAGAAGCTACAATAGCATTGTGGCGGAAGGTGAGCGGAACCTGCATCGCATCGTGCATGAAGAAGTCTCAGTGGGCCAGACCGAACAATGAGGCTTGCGGTGACTGCAGCAGCTCAACTGTTAAAATGGTATTTTTGTTGTTCTGGCTTGCTGCAGCTCATACTGGAGCTCTTGGAGGCTGAGAGCCACCGTGAGCCCGACAGTTTTTTGCCGTTATCAGAGGTCAATTTTTGGAGGGACAGGTAAAGAGCTGATACAANTCTGTTGCCGACAAGATATGTGTCACAGATAAGTGCAGCCCATGTACGCTCTGATGCTTCTGCATATGCTGCCCATAAGAGCGCGGATGCTTTCGTGCATGCTTTGTGGCGGGTATCTGCAGACACACCTCAGTTTCCCTGCTCTACGAGCAACTCCTCGCGCCGCAGTGTCAACAGGCAATACAACTGTATGAAGAAGCCCAGCCCGATTCTGCAGTTCTGGCAACATTCAGAAAATCTCTGAATGAGCTGCAACAACTGCATCAAGAATCCATGAGCAATGTTCGTTTCCTATCAACTCTCGAGAGGTCCGGCCAAACAATATCTGTAAACCTGATTTGTTTTATAAATTTCTGGACTCGATAGGTGCTAAAAGCAAACTCATGGAGTAAAATGAGTGTGACATTCGTAATGAACGCATTGACACGCCTGCGGGAACCAAGGCAATGTTGTTCGGTTTTCAGGTACTTCACGACGCTGGAAACGAGCCCGCTGGGGCCCATGGCTGACACGATTGCCTCGCTAATGAACGCTTTGCGAATGGTCTGGATAACATCTAGACACTTCACCACCGACGAACGCATGCAAAACCTGCTGGAAAGGATTGCTCACCAGGTGTGTTCATAGAGCATTCTACTCGCTAGTCTCCCAACGAAATATGCTGGAAAACCAAAAGCATTAAGCATGAAACAGAAGACTTCTCAGCTACTTGCGGCTTTGCGTCCAGTTGGAGATGCGCATCCGTCAAGACGTCTGCGTAGAACAACTCCTACGGAAAGATGTCGAAGAGGCCAGCACTATTTTGCAACAATCGCGTGCTTTGCTTGAAACATGGAAGGCGGAGTACTTCAGGATGAGGTCACGCCTTGAAGAGTCGGAATGCAACAGAAGGTCTGTTAAACGTTCGGTGACAGATTATACCGTTTTGTTTCTTCGTATAGTGGGAGCACGAAGGTGCAACGCATAACAGCACATTCTGCCCAGCTGCACCTAACTGTGGGGAAAAAGTGGTCTCACGCCTTTGCCCTCAGATGGGAATTCGACAGGCGGAAACTGTTTCGGACGACAGATTACATGGCTTCAATGTGCTCGACATTTGAAGAGATAATGAAAACCATAGGGCAGTTTAGGCGTTTCATCGGTCCTAAGCTTCATTCGGTTACTCGCTCTCGCCGAGCAGTAAATAGACTTACTGAAAAAATGCAGGTTTGTTCGTTGCTCACATTCCAGTGCACGCGTGCTCCTCAACTACAGACTTTGGAGGAAATAAAAAATCGGCATTCATTCATTTGCTTCGATCCCATTGTCACCCAAAGGTGTGGGAGCCCGGGAAACTGAGTTTGCCTTGCCTGTTGCCTGTTGATTCATGAATCGCCAGGTTCTCATTGGATCATTTGACTCGGTCTCCGACAGGGTATTTTGTGAAAAGGACTCAGAGGAGGTCTCGCTAACTGTGAATCAATTCTGGAGAAGAACAGAAGAGCTTGAAGACGAGTGCATAACGTTTCTGGATACGAAATTCACGAGGCTCCGTTCTGCTCTTAGTGCTTTCGAAATGCTCAAGGATTTCACGACAACTGCTAGCAGACCAAGGATCAACGTGAAGCTCGGGGAAAAGTTTGTAGACATTCTGAAGCACTTCAGTACGTATCCTTCCAAACGTCTCGCTAAACTGGCTATCCGATATTTGCTATGTGGTTCTGATACCTTGTTAAAGCTAGAACACGGACGCGAGCAACATGTTGCCTGCCAGATACTGAGGTCGATCGTATGCGTGGACTATTCGAAGAAGGGAAGGATAACCCCTGCTTACCGAGCCACATGCCGCCTGTCTCCGGGGCAATTTTGTGGTCAAGTGGACTTTTACAAGCTCTCAAAGCGAGCGTTCTTGCCTTCAAGCAGATGCCAGAAGTCTTTGACTTTGATCAGGCAGAGGATGTCTTCGGCAACTACCTTTCCTTTGCGAAGTCAATTACAGCTTACCAGAATTCCCTAGTCAANCAGAGGATGTCTTCGGCAACTACCTTTCCTTTGCGAAGTCAATTACAGCTTACCAGAATTCCCTAGTCAAACAGTGGCAGGTACGCATTTAAGCACCTTTCATTGTCTCAGCAGCTTCAAATCTCGCTCGTAGCAGCCATTTTCCTGCAGGGGTACTTCCGATGAAACACATGCGGCTGTAGGAGAAACCACACATGCGTGTATATATATCACGTTTTGGTTCCGCTACTGGGAAATGCTGAGCAGGCTACTGCAGCAAGTACTGCTACTGAGTGCTTAAAATCATACATCCTCCGGAGGCAAGCCAACGGGACATATGCCGTGAACTTTCGTCCAGATGTTTGGGTTGTTATGCAAGAAGCCCGCCACCTAGACCAACTTGGTTTGCGTGAAGCCCCTGCAGCTGTCGTGAATGTCGCTTTGCACAAGGTGAGCATCCGAGCTGTGCTTTTGAGGTATTGGGAAGTGCTTTATGGGATCTAATTGTAGTTTGTAATCCCGGTTTGAAATTTGTTCGCATGTGGGCTGACCAGGAGAGGTTTTGCCAGCATCAAGTTCTGCTTGAAGGACTTGTGGACAAGTTGAACTCCACGTTGTCCAGCATCATCCCAGCCCACAACAGCTTATTGTCGCGACAAATAGCTGAGCTCCATAGGCAAGGTCTTGCCTACAAACGCAACCTTGTCCCTTTTGAATACAGACATATGCGACAGGATACGAAGCCACATGTGACAAGCTCATTGTATTGTGCAACAGCAATATCTGCGACAGTTACAAGGACAGATCCAGCTCTTTCTGTGAGCTAATCAGCCATTGTGTGCACATCGTGAACATTTTGCAGGGCAGTTCATCCTGGTCTTACTACCTTAAATTGGACAAGCTTGGGGCTGGAGGATTTCGTCAGCTCGTGCCTGAAGTCTTTGACCATCTTCAAAGCTACGTGCGAGCAAGTTTTCAAGAACGTGGAAATCATTGAACAAATTGTTAAGGAGATCGAAAACGCACAGTTGGTTAGAGACCTTAATTGGGATTCTTTTGAACCCTTTGCGATACAGGTGGGCCTTTGGTGGGCGGTGCTTACCTGGACACTGCATCAGACTATTCGTCCAGCTCAGTGCAAAACCAAGGTGGCGTGTTACAGCGCGAGTACTCCTTTAGGCTTTGTCCCACTGCAGGACTTCTACGAATACATAGAGGAACACAGAGCTCGCGTAGTTGAAGGACTTCAAGGCAGATATGAGTCAATAACCTCCTACCTGAAAAAGATTGAAGAGCTGCTCGAGGGCAGGATGACTGGGTCCAGCGAAGCGATGGCTTCTTACTACCATTACTGGGAGCGTCGAATTTTTAATGCTATAGCGACAATGCTTATTAGAGGTATTTTGTCAACCTATCTTGTGCGCTACTCGCCGATAAATAAATCCACGTCTCCCCGTACTATAACAATAGGCCATTGTAGTGCAAGTGAGTCCCAACAACCTATGATTGGGGGTTAAAGTAGATGCTTGTGCAGCTGCTTGTTCCTCTTTGCAGCCACAAGTCGCTTTCGAGCTTTCTTCACCTTGTCGTCCTCAGCATGTCGTTGGCCGCCAGTCCTTCGGGTTTCGACTGAGTTAAATGATAAAGACGTTGTTATCCACGGAAGCACTCATTCCATTTTCAAAACCATATCCAGACTCATGCAGAATATTATTGCCTCGGCAATGAGCTTCTCGCGTTGGATGCATGGAACCTGCAAGTGAGTACCCGAGACTGTCTTGAGCTGCACGTGAGATGGCATCTTTCAGCCGATTGTTTCCATCGGAGCAAATAGGACTGCTTGCAAGTGTTACATTCTACAGGTGCGTTCCCATCCAGCAGCTTCCGGGGGGTGACGAGACAGCAGCGGTCCAGTTTACTTTCTACAATGAGGTTGCCCGAATACCGGCACTCATCAGTAGCACCGTTGCAACGCATCAAGCCATCCAAAGGGCATTCCAGGTAACCATTGTTGCTGAATNCTCATCAGTAGCACCGTTGCAACGCATCAAGCCATCCAAAGGGCATTCCAGGTAACCATTGTTGCTGAATCCCCTTCGTAGTCACTTCGCCACCGCACACCGGTTTACTATCATTTGGGTGTGCTCGGTTGCGTATCTAACTGCCCTGCCGCTGCAGCATATAACGAAGTATGTAAAGAACTGGAGCAAGTACGAAGTTGAGTGGGCACTGTGGAACCCAGATCGCAAGTCTCAACTGGAACAGCTCATTGTCAAAAGACCCAACTTGGTGTATTTTGACGTGTATGTCCGGGCCTATGAGAAGGTGAATATGGAGATACTGCGATTAGGCTTTGCTGCATACGACAGATCTTACTCCACAATATGCATACCGCTATTCCCGATCAATTCATCTCTCCCGTTGCCTGCAGCTTGCTGCGGAGCTAGGCACGATTCCTAAAGTAAATACTGTTGGCTTTATTCAACTCGACTCTTCGACTGTCATTGAGGGAATACGGAAGCAGGCCCTCGTGTTAAGCAGAGCATATGCAGAGACCCTTCATGAAATCGCGAAGCGGGAAAGGGTGGACTTGAAAAAGTTGATAGACGAAAGACGGTAAGGCAGCAGTGCTAAGAGGCTTGCGCGTGGAGTGGGCAGTGAGACAATCTTATGAACGTGGCTTAGTCTTCGCTGCGTGCTTAACCTGCAGGCAAAAGCTTGAAGTGGAGACAGATACTTTGGAGAGATTTAAGGTGCTCATGGAATCAGTGACAACCATAAACGACAGCGCCATGGATGCAGAGATACGACTGACAGAGATGCGTGAAATGTACAGTACTCTCCAAAGTTACGACTACCACATAAACCAAGCTGAGATGACGGATTTAGCAGCTCTACCCAGCGAATGGAAGGAGCTGAGAAACCTGGCGCATCGTAAAACGCGGCAGCTAGCATCTATNCAGCTCTACCCAGCGAATGGAAGGAGCTGAGAAACCTGGCGCATCGTAAAACGCGGCAGCTAGCATCTATCAAGACGAAATTCGCCGGGGAGAAAAAACAGGAGGTAATCTAATGCAGCAGTAGAATGCGCAAGCGCTTTTGGGTGCACAAGAATGTGTAGTTTCACCACACATTCTTGTGCACCCATATGTTAAGTGCTGCCTGATGTGACTGTTGAATAGGTCGCGGACTTTATGGTTGAGTGCAAGGCGCTCCAACAGAAATTCCAAGATTTGTCGTCATCTGTAGACACTCCACTTACGGAGGGGAGGGAAGCGATGGCGGCCTTGGAGGAAGAAATTGCGGTGTTCAAAGCGAGAGCGGCCGACCTCAATAATGCCGAAAATTTGTTTTCACTTCCAGTAACTGCATTTACTATTTTGGATAAGCTTGAGGGGGACGTCAAACAGCAAGGGCAGATATTTGCTCTATTCGCTGATCACGATGCAATGGTCAAGGAATGGGCATCTCAACTATGGGCAAAGGTGGACTTCCAGGTGGGTGCGGCCAAAGGCAACCTCACTTGCTCTCCCGAATATGGAATCCGGCAAAGCGCTTCAGGGTGCCTAAAATGTAAGTGCCGTATATACTAGGGCAGCTCATGGCCACCAGGGTGAAACCCTTCTGCTGTGTGCATTTACTCAGGAGCTCCAAAAGGCAGCTGAAGAATTTAGGAAAAGACTTAAACAACTGGAAAAGTCTGGAGGCCCTCAAATCACTAGCTCCCCAGTAAGTANGAATTTAGGAAAAGACTTAAACAACTGGAAAAGTCTGGAGGCCCTCAAATCACTAGCTCCCCAGTAAGTAATGCAAGCCATAAACTTGGGGAAGGTGTAGGTTGAGAGCTTCTCCCTCATTTTGGGAGGAATATTTTCAAGGCTTTGATCCAGCGGACTATCTAAGGATACGGTATTTATTTGACAGGCCTTCATGCAAGTAACGCAACTTATTAACGGATTCCGAAGCGAGCTTCCCCTTATAGAGAGATTGAAGAATGAAGCCATACGCCCACAGCACTGGAAGGAGCTGATGGCAGCGGCCGGGCAAAGCTTCGACGCCGAAAACAAAAATTTCCGGTTGCAGGATGTCTTGGATCTACAACTGGGTCGCGTACCAGATGCTGTTAATGAAATTATTCAGGCTGCAACGGTATGTGCTACAGGAGGTTTTACAAGTTGATAGTTAATCCGCATTAGCCCTCTCAGGAGCCCTACCCAAATGTATGTCTTAGCAAGAGTGACGTTTGGAGATGAACCAAATGCATCATAAGATGCCTGCTTCATTTCCGTCTTGCTGATCAGGAGGAAATGAAGCTGGAGAAAGACATTGCCAAAATCGAGTCATGTTGGCGACAACAAACCGTTGAGACTGCCAAATATAAGAATGATGCGACTCGCTACGTGCTGAAGTCCAACGACGAGCTCCGAATGCTACTAGATGACAATCTTCTTCAGCTTCAGTCCATGTTGGGATCTAGATTTGTCTCAACTGTGCTGGAAAAGATCCGGAAGTGGGA